TGTTAATTTTTTGCAAACTGTAAATTACTTAACTATGGGGAGTCTTATTTTGCGACTTTTAGCAGAATGGAATATTTCTTTCACTCTTTCTAAAGTAATCATTTCTGATTCCACTTCCTATATGAAAAAATGCTTCTGTGAAGCTTTAAGTCCTATTATAGTACAATTAAAATACAATACTTGTTCGGCCTATATAATGAATTTAATTGGGTAAATTAATTATATATACAGTTATAATTTATATATATAATATATAGTATTATCGTTATATATATGTATATTATTAAATATATATTAATAAATATATGTCTGATATTTTTAGTGAATCGTGGACATTGATTTTTCACTTTAATAATATTAAAGCATTGATTACGAATATCAAAAAAACATTTATGCATACAAAAGCCCGTAAGAATCATTACATGCATTATCTAAGATGTCATGAATTAAATCAGCAATCCAATCCTCCACTAAAATTTATACCATTACCGGTTGCAACTCGTTGAAACACCTGGTTCTGAATGGCGTTTTATTTGTGTGATTATTTAAAATATATCTACAGTTTTTATAATGAGGAGCACAAAACTAATTCATTCGAGGCAATTAAGAAAATCATGACTTTTTTTAATAATCCTGAAGAATATGGTCAAATTCAAATTTATCTGAAGTTTATTCAGTATTATTCAGAAAGATTTATCATCGATCTTAACTTTTTTCAATGCGAAAATAATCTGGTAATTCCATTCATCAAAAGCAGAATACAGCAACTCGAAGTTTTTTTAAAGGATGGTGAAACTAGTACAGATTATAGAAATGATGTGAATTTGTGTATTACAAACCTTGGGGCTGAACCACTTATGTTTAATCCTTGTATTTCAAGCAGCTTTTGCTGCGGCATGTAATAAGTTTGATAAACATTTTTTATATCATCCTTTTCGTTCTCTTTTTATAGCAGTACAAATTTTTAACTCTCATTTTATTAAATTAGCTACTATTAATCATAATATTTGAAATTATTCAGATCAAATTCTTGAACTTAACGATTTAACGGATGCTTTATTGCAAGAATGGAGTCTTTATTGTAATTTAGATTTGACTTTAATTGAATTTAATAATTTTGAAGAATTTTGGAATAAAGTATCTTTTTCACTTCCAATTTTAAATAATATAGCTTCAATTTATATTTGGTTACCTATTTTTCATGTGCTGTAGAGAGAAGTTTTTCAGTTTATAATAATGTTTTAGAGGATGACCGACAAAATTTAAGTGAAGATTCGTTGAAAATATTAAATATGCTATATTTTAATCAACAAAAATAATAAAATTTAATATCTAAATTTTTCCAAATTTTACTTTTTTATCCAAATTTTACCCAAATATAAACTAATATCCAAATAAAGATTTACGATTTTATATCCAAATTTTTGACAGTCTCTGCCATGGCTGAAGGCCATGAATTATTTATATACCCATGCAAAAACATTAGTGTAGTGCATATACTGTGCATTAACAAATCAAATATACAAAGTTTAGTATGAAAATTAATAATTAAAATAATTTGATAATGTATACAAATTTCTTTTATATATAATAAACTTTATTTGATTATAATGTTTAAATTGTAACACAGCTTCGAATATTTAAAACAAAACGATTAAGGCCCATGACATTGTTTTATATATTAATGCCCAAAAGCATCCAGTCTTAAAAATAAATTGCTTATATTATACTTCAGCAAAATTCTAAACTAATATAGTTTAGATTTGTTTGCGCTAAAGTTCCAAACTTTGGCCTATCGAATATCTCAAACATATTGTCGAACGTCCCAAAATCGATAATCTGTTAAATCTGAAAAAAAATTAGCCCAACAAGCCTGTTTCTGTTATATGTTTTCAAATCTGATAACTTTTAAAATAATACAAAATCTGTTTACTATGCATATCCCACCTTTGCCAATTACTTTGATATTTTTGATTATTGTATGAAATTGATAATAATTTATAATTTTTTCATTATTCGATATATCTTTTAAATCATCTCCAAATTTAGTTTTGAGAGTATGTAATAATTCAACTCTTATAAATTATTTTTGGGGCTTTGGGGTCTTGACAGTAGTATCACTGTGATCCCAAATCATAAAACAAAAAAGATGTTCTGCACACTTACCATATCCAAGACTTAAAAGCAACTGGCCTAAATCGCATTATACATCAATAAACTTGCAATTTCAATTTTGTAGTCTAAATTCTATACCAATCATATCAATAATGTAATTAAAATAGAAAAATTAAAAAAAACAAATTATTATATAATAGATAGAGAATAAAGACAATAATAAGATTAATGCTTACTTTGAATAAATTAAAAGATATGCATATAGAGCTTTCAACAACACCTGCCATTAGAATTTTTTTTTGAATTTTAGTATATATATAATATATGTGCAAAAATTTAAAAAGAAATTAGAATTCTTTTTATAACCTTCTATACTAATAAACAATTTAATAGGAATTTTAGCAACAATCATATAAATGCTGCCAAAGAAAAACATACATATTTAAATATAGGTTATATTTAAATGTACATGTTTTTTCTTGGTGGCATTCATATAATTAAAATGTAACACAGCACCTCAGATCTTTATAACCAAAATTGAGATTCAATGCAAGTTATGAATAAAGACAGTCTCATTATCTATTAGTAAGCCTGGAGATAGACTGATACGTATTCAAGTGTGCATATTTTTTTCCATTAACTCTTAAATATAAGTGCGAATCAGCTTATCATGAATTCACTTGTGAGTCATACATATTTTTCTTGAGTTTCAAATAATTGTAAAAGCTTATAAATAAATATAGCTTCAGAAGTTTATTCTTCAAATTAAAAGTTTTATCTATTACTTTTTGTTTAAAAAAAAAACTTGCTTATCTTTGTTAGTATAAAATTCATTAAATATTATACAAAATAGCACAACGATATGCAGGTAGTTCTAAAAACATAAATTCATTGAAGATATTATCGTGCTTGGTGCAAAGCCAACAAATAAGCACAATATATACAGTGTATATAAAGCTTGTGATAATGCTCTTGGCCACGATGAAGCTCTAAAATCATCATTGACCAATAAAAAAAATACAGTTTGTAATCACTTAAAAAAATGCTTATATTTCTGTATTAAACTAGGATCTCAAGAGGCAGTAGATACATATTGCAACAGAACTGATGATAAAGAAGAATCTACTTCTCAAATTGCAAAAAGGCGTCGAAATATGGACGTGTCTGGTAAAACCTTTTTTTTAAAAAAATTAAATTATTATTAATAAATTGATAAAAAAAATTATTATTTTTTAAATAATAAAATTATGAAGATGCAAATAATATGACCAGTAGCACTTCCACTGCATCTAACCGCAATAGCAAACAAAAATTATTATCAACTTCTGTAACAAACTTTATTGTTTAGGGCATTACTACAAAGGAGAAACCAAAATTTGAAAGGCTGTTACTTCAGATGACAATTTCAAATAGATGGTCTTTTTGATAGACAACGAATCCAGCTACTTTAGAATTCTTTGAATTTTTAAACCCAAAACTTACTCTTCCTAGTCGGTATTCTTTATCTAATTGTATTCTTAATGCTGAAAATTCTACTTTAACCCAGTCCCGTGAACAAAAACTAAAAAATGATAAGATTGAAGTTACTTTAGTATTTGATAGATGGAAAAATATTTTAAAACAACACATATTCGGTTCCTTATTTATCTTATCAACTGGAGAAACTTTAATTTAAAAAGCAACCGACATAAGCTCAGAGAGAGAACATATAATTGAAATTATTCCCAAAATTGAATCTATGATTAATGAAGCATCAGATCTAGGCACCAAATTATCTGCTATCATTTCTGATAGTGCTCCAATATATTCTGGTGCTAGGTAAAATAAAAAATAACAAATAAATAATAAAATAATAATAATAATAATAATAATAATAATAATAAAGAATCTTTGTTTAAAGGTTCTAAATTAATTTAATAATAAACTATTAGTTATTAACAAAAAAATTAATATTTTAAATAGACGTCGGTTAAGATTAATATATCCAAAAATCATTTTTCTACCTGCTTCACTCATCAATGCAATCTTGCTGTAGGAAAAATCTTCAAAGAATCTAATAAATTCAAAGTCGCATCCAAAAAGGCCCTAAAAATAGTTTTATATTTTAATTATACAATTAATTCGTATTTTATTGGAAAACTTCGAGATATACAATTTCAAATATATAAAACATGTATTACCTTAGTTTGCCCAGCAGATATTTGTTGAAACTCTTATGCCTACTGCTTTAAAAGTTTAATGAAATCCCGCCAGGCTTTGAGAGTAAGTTTATACTTTTTTAAAATTATACTGTAATATTATAAGAAAATTTAATTCGTAGTTACTAAATAGTTAATTCTGAAGTTAATAAAATAATAAAATCATTTTGAAAGCTCTAGTAACTTAATTCAATAATATGTTTTTTTTAAAAAAAAGAATTTAGCTACTATACATGAATCTTCTTTGGATAGTATAACTCAAAATTCAGATGATGAATTAGGTCAATCTTCAACCAACTTAGATAAACTTTATCTTCCACAAGATATAATATCAATTTTGCTTAATAATAATTTCTGGCAATCAGTAAAATCATTATACTCATTGCTTCTTCCTTATTGCAAAGTTCTCAATAAATTACAATCAGATACTGCTCACCTTCATGAAGTGTTACAATCTTTTGGTGGAATATTAAAAATATAGAAAGAATATTCTGATGAAGATTTAGCAGAGTGTATAATCTTACAGCTAGAACAAAGGTGAAAGCAATAGAAGCAACCGTTATTGTTATTGGCTTTTCTTTTAAATCCAGGTATCTGTAATACTTGGTTCAAAACTAATACTGATAATTTAAATTTTACATATCTTGCCCAATTCATTACTTATTATTATAAAGCATGGTTTGAGCATCAACCAACCTGTATTCTACTTGAGTTTGAAAAATATAAAAAATATAAATACCCATTTGATTGTTCCACGTATAAACAATTTAAAGGAAGTGTGTTGGAATTTTGGGACTTTGCTTCCCTCTCGACTAAAGAATTAGGACCTTTAGCTACACGGCTATTTGGGATCTGTGTTAATGCAGCATCTGTAAAATGATTATGGAGTTCAATGGGATTTATCTATACTAACCAACAAAATCGTCTCCAAGTGAGTATTACTATAAATTATTATATTCAATTACGATATTGTTTTTGATTTATTTATTTATTTTTTTTTTTACAAAATTATTAGAATAAAAAAGTGTTAGTCATGTGCCAAATACGTGCTTCAATTAATTTTACTTAGCGAAAAAAACCATACAAGCCTTCTAATAATCCAGCAAATCAAAGTGTTAAACCTGAACAAAATGAATTAGATGATCAAGATAAATCAGATAAAAAAAACAATTCTAGAGAAGGTTCTAAACCTAATATATTGGATACAATGGCATGGGAAAGTTGATTACAAGAGTAAGAGCAAATGTTACTTGACAAAGAAACTGCTATGTTAGAAGAAGAAGTGAAATGTGAGAATAATGAATATATTATGAATAGTGATTTGTTAAGTAATTATATATATCTAGCAATTGACTATAGAGCAAAGTAGGAGTTGATTAGTTTATTTGGCTCACTTTTCGAAAAACCAAGCTATATGAATTCCAAAGGTTAGCTTTTGATAAAATTGTAGTGTTAACAAACTTATTGCAATTCTTACAGCTTTATGAAATACTGAAATATTTAATATAGGAAATTTACCTGAAGCCTTCAATCTTAACTATGCTATGAGTACAGATTTAACCCAAAATAAGTAACATGGCCCTGTTTAAATTTGATTCGAAGTTAAATTAAATATAGATCTATTTTTTTTTTTACGTATTATTCATATTCTATCACTATGTATTGTACTATTTTTCTATTTTTTAAAAGAATTATTAAATAAATGAACAAATTTACTATATATATAAATGTATAACACTTGTTCTCTGATTGGTTGATATTGATATAATACGCATGATCATAGTTCCACATTTTGATTAGTTGATATGATATTCATTCCAGTAAAAAAAATCTTAACTGGAACTACTAGAACACTGGAAAAATCTGAACGTCCAGTGGAAGTTCTAGCTTCTAGCTAACAACACTAATGTAGACTATATGCCTTAAGATTTTCTAAAGAGAATCTATCTCTATCTCGAATTAGTTTTTCTAAATCTTCAAATAATAATATATGTTCTGCTTTTGCTATTTCAACAATTGTATTAATACACTTTTGTTGATTATCAAATTAAAGAATCCCACTATACAACAAGTTCATCATTGATTCTAAGCTGTTCTTTATACAAATTACAAATTATAATTACTTCATCATAAACTCTTAATAGCTAATTTTTTAATTCAGCTATTTCGCTTATTTGATTATCTAAAAAATTACAAGTTATAATTATATCATTATAAGCTTTTAGTATCAATCTATTTATTTCTTTTTTTTAATCTTCTAAAATTGAAATGTTTGCTGCTTCTCTATTTGAACAACCTCTAAAAGTCTTCTAGCTCAGTCAAGCTCAATCATCAGATTATTATAGCTCATAGTTATATTATTTTAATTGGTATAATTCATGGCTATATTATCTTGATCAGTATTAGGTTGAGTTTCTTCTTGATCTAAACTTGCAAGATTATAATAATCATTAGCAACAATTTGATTGTAATGCGTTTGACAAATAATATAAGTAGCTAAAGAAGAAAGATAATCAGTAAGTTCTGGCATATTAAATTGAAGATAACTAAATCATCTAACTATTACCAGAGCATTAGCATTTCGTATTCTTCGTGGATCTACATTATAAGATTTTAAACCAATTGTTTTATATGTTTTAACTAAATCTGTGAAAATACATTTAGGAGTTTTTTCTGATTATATTTGAGAAGTTGACACTATAAAAGAATATTTAAAATAAAAATTCAATTAGTAAAATTATATTTTTACAGTTCAGTTTGTATAAAACAGATCTTTAAACTTCAAGTCTCATTTACTTTTTTGAGAAGTGCTAATTAGAGCAGATTATTGTAAATTAATTAAACTAGTTGTTTTTTACTATCTACTTGTATATTGATTTGTAGGTTTCTAATAATAATTAAGAGTATAAAAAATTTTTGAAAAGTGCTATCAAAGAAGTGCATATGAGCCAATCAGAGCTAAGAATCAATATACAGATTATTCTAAAATTTGATTTTCTAATTCAGTATATTCTCTAGCTAAATTATTGTAAATTAATTAACTATTTGTTTTTACTATTAATTTAGATATTGATTTGTGAGTTTCAAATAATTAGGAATATAAAAAAATTTTTAAAAAGTGCTATTATTTTAGAAACTAATTTTTTAATTTATATAATCAAAAATAAAATATAACAATTATTTAAATTATAATAAATAAAGAACAAGATTCAATAACAATAAATTATTTAGAATTTTAATTAATTTAACTAAGTTCAAATATGAGAACAATTTTTATTTATTTATTTAAAAATTATTAACAAGATTTAGAATTTAAAACAAAAGCAACTTCTACTTATTTTGAAATAAATTATTGCACTTTGCAAAAAGATGTAACTTTTGCAGATTACAATATTATGTGAAAATCAAAGATTCTGTAAATTTTAAGAATCTTATTGATTTCAAATAAATATAAATATAACTGATTGAAAATATATAGAATTCCAATCCATTATTATTTATCTATTGAATATCCAAATAAATTTAGATATGGATAAATAGGTAACAGATTGGACTTCTAAAAATATAAATTAATAGACAATTTAGAATTACAGAAATTTTTCACTTTTATTACAACAGAAAATATACTATTAAAACACCAGGATTACGCAAGTGACCAGTTTGACGGTTAAAGTTTACCTTTATATAAAAAGAACAAACAAAACATTTAAGCATCTAGTTTCTTGTACCATTTTCGCAAGCTCATCTGGAACTCTCGATGCAAAAAGATAATAGAATGGGAGAAGAAAGAAGGCATAACGAAAGAAAAGAAAACAGAAAATACAAAAAAAAGAAAAAGCGAAGAGACAAAGAAACAAGACAAAGAAAATAGAGATCCAGCGAGCAGTACAAAAGAAAAAGATGCTAGAAGAACCAAGGTTAGCCGAAAAGAAGAAAAACTAGACATGATCAAAGAAAAAGATAGTCTAACCAGGGAATGGGTCTCGTGGGGAACCAAACCAGCATGGTCTTCGCTGGTGAAGCCGAAACGGTCTTTTTAAGCATGCTTGACATGGCAGACAATAGCCAATTGATAACCAAGGGGGGTACCTTGATCGGTATGAAATCCTTAGAAAGTTAAGGATCCTGAGAGAGATAAATTGTTGTTTTGGCGGGTCGCACTAGGTAAATACTTGGTGAGTCTTTTTTAGATTAGAGCATTACACTATATAGTCAATTATATATGTATAATTAGTTAAATAGTGGTTCAAATAAATAAAGACAAGACTGCTTAAAAAAAAAAAAAAAAAAAAAACATTTAAGCATCACAAAAATCATGGGGTCACATCTTTTACAAAGAGCTATAATTCTAGAAACCCTAATAGTAAAAATTATAAATAGTACTTGGTGAAATTGAATTTTGATTTCAGTCAATCAAAATCTATTTTTAGTATAGTATTAGAATAGATTTTAATTGTCTGAAATCAAAAATTCGATTTTGCCAAACACTATAAATGTATATCATACCTTAACTAATTTATAAAATTCTTTGTCTATTGCTATATATTGTTTGGTTTAATTTTTAATCATTTCAGATAATATAATAATGCTGCAAAAATTTGGTAATCTCATAATTATTAGGCCAATCAGATCAAAACTTAAGCTTGAAAATACCCAAGATAGGTTAATATAACTTGTTTACTATTAAATTTTGATTTTGGATATTTTTCTAAGCTTAAATTTTGGTCCATTTGGCTCAATTATCATAAGACTGCCAAATTTTTGCACTATTACTATATTATCTAATAATTTCTCCAAGTTAGCGATTGATTTATTATACCTTTTCATTACATAGTTAATTTCTTCTTGACTATTGTATTATATGGTTCAATTTCTAGCAATCTAGTTAAATTTTTGAATACTTTATAATATTTGCCCATAATAAAATATTAGTAACTTAATTTATCTGTATTATTCGGTTCTTTTTCTAGATTTTGCTAAATAATCTTTTTTTTTTTTTTTAAGCGATTCTGCCTTTATTTATATGAACTACTATAAAATTTATATACAATGTACTAAATTTTTACAACTTATTGCTCTAATTCAATAAAGACTCACCAGGTTGAAAACCTAATGCGACCTGCCATAACAACTGTTTACCTCTCTTGGGATTCTTAACTTACTAAGGATTTCATACTATAACTGATACCTCCCTTGATCATAAGTAGGCCATCGTATGCCTTGTCAGAAATGCCTAATGATTTTGTCGAATCTTAACCAATGAGGACCATGTTGGCTTCTTACCCCATGAGACCCAATCTTCAATTATTTTGTCTTTTTCCTTTAATACCTCTAGCTTTTCCCTTCTCTTTTTGCCATTGCTTCCTTTTGTCCTTTCCTTCTTATAATTGGTAGTCCGAGAGTTGGTATTTTCTTTATCTGCTTCGTTGTTTTTTCTCTTAAATTTTCTTTTACTGGCCTTTTTTCTTTTCTTCTCTTTGGTTATACTATTACGCTTCTCCCAATCTGTTACTAGTTCGTATTGGAAGCTTTAGAAGTGCTTGAAAAACTGGCACTGGAAATGGCTAAGTATAGCTTGGACAAACTTGCTAACCTTTCTTGTTTCGCTTATGATCGAGCTAATACTTTCTCGTCTCTTCTCTGTAATTAAACCCTTCATTAGCTCTATTCCTGCTGAGATTCTTTCTTGTATGCTTTTGCCGAAAATCAGGTCTTGTATCTTTTGTATGTCTCTGGTCTCCAGTTTTTCTTTTTCTTTAGTTGCCTTTTCGATGAGTAATTTACTTACTTCTTTTTCTAAGATACACCACATTTTCTGGAGTTCTGAGCAGGTAGCAAAGTGATTTTGTGTCTTAACTTCTTGCTAGCATATCTTGCACATATCGTCCGGATATAGTTCTGCCTTTTTCATGTTTAGGACTTGCATTGTCAAGAGCAGGCTATTTAGATACTTTATCTTGAGGACCCATTCTTTATTTTGAGCTGTGCTTCTGCAGTTTCTTCCTCGTACTTGCCCTATATCTTTCCATACTTCACTCCATACAATTGCTTCTGTTTTTTGCTCTGCCTCAACCTATTTAATTATGCTTTTTAAAATTTTCCACTCAGTATCAATAGTGGCCTTTGTTAGTCATGTGATAAAGCTTCTTGTTGAGTTATCTACTTTTAAGTCTTTCCATCTTAACTTTGTTATTGCATGTTTGTTCTATGGCCATCTTGGGTTGATTATTTCTGTGCTGAGAGTGCCTTTTTTTGCAAGCTTGTCTGCTTCCTTATTTTCTTTAACTCCACTATGTGCCTTAACTTTCTTAAAACAGATTTTAAGCTCTTTCAGATTAATTGTTTGCTGTATTTGCTCCAGAAGACAAAGGTTTTTCCTCTTCAATATCTCAGAAGCTCCTTCTCTTTTTGGCTTGCTTGTACTGCCTATATTGCTACTGCGCTATTGGTGTAGATCTCGATTTTGGTTTTGCATGGGGCTGCTAAGAGAGCTGTCCATATTGCACTGAGTTTTGCTCTTGTTGATAATGGCCAATCTTTTATTGGCCCGTGAAAGTTGGCTAGTACTTGTCTGCCAGCTTTATTTTCTTTTCCTGAGACTGCAACCCAGTTGAGACCCATTTTCTTTTTCTTTGGCTCCTCTGTTGGATTAAGTAGAGACCTGTCTATATAAAAGGAGATCTTCTTTTTACTTCTAAGCTTGATTACTACTTTTTTAATTTTTTCTGCTACTTGTATGCTTTCAATGGCGTAATCTATTATTTCATCCTCTATTAGATAAATTGTGATATCTTTAACTTGACATTCCTGAGTATTCTCCTCTCTACTTATAAGTAGGCTTGTTTGCTGAAATGGGCTTATGAAGCAGCTAAGTGGAATGCAAAGTTCTTAGCTCTCGTCCTGAGAATGAATTTTCTGAATAAATCTTGGGTTGATTGTCAGCATGTTGCTTTTCCAACTTCTTTTTGTGCAAGTGGAATCCGCTTCATGACTTTCTGCTTCGTCAATATTACATCCTTTACATTTGGTAAATATAAGCATGTTCTTGCAAGAGTCAGAAGTTGCTTTCCAATGTTTTGTTATAGCTGTTTTTTTTCCCTTTTTTTCTACTATTTTTCCCACCTCTACTGCACTCCCGAATCTAATTAGCACCCATTCTTTTCTTCTTTTGTCATCACTTATTGGAGAAGTATTTACTTGAGGCGTTAGGCAGTTTGGTGTTTGTTTTCTCAGGTTGGGTCTGACTTTTCTTTCCCTGGGGTCCTCAAGGACTATTTCTTCAATTTTTTTAAACCAGTTGGGAGGTTTTCCAGATGCTTTTTTCTGCTTGCACCTTTTGATCTAGTTCCATATAAACAGATTCACCCCTTCTTTGTCCAACAATTGTTCTAATACCAAGATTTCTATTTTTCTTTCTTGCGCAAATCTTTTAATTTCTTTGTCATCTAGGTTGTCTATGATTTCTACACCTGATTCTACGAGCCTTAGATTGTCTTCTATTTCAATTGATCTTATACTTATTTTTAACTCTTTGGCCGCAACTAAGATTTTATAAGCTAGGTTTTGTTTTAGTTGGATCTTTTTGAGCCTCTCCATATCTAGCCTTAATATGCATTGCGTGCTTTTGCAGTCGATTTGGGCCTGTTGTAATCTAATTCATATTGCCTTGCCCACTTCACTATTATTGTTTAGTCTCTTTCTCAGCTCGGTTATATGGTGGGCCATTTGATTTTGCCAGACTGTCTTGATCCCAACTATATTTCTATATGTCATGATTGCATTTGCTGTTGTTGTTGCAAAATCTGATTTATTTTTGATAACCTTTAGCAGTGGGCTTTGAAGTTTGTCGCATTGATTTCTTGGAATTATACAGTGCTGCATTCTGTATTCCAACCTCGGAATTAAAACTCTATTGTTTATATAAACTAACTGTGCAAGAGTTGTGCTCTTTTTGTATATTGCTTTAATGACTGCCTGTGTTTCTTTTCTAATAATATCTATTATATAGGATTGGTTGATCTTTCTAGATAGCCAAATACCAAGGAATCTTGTTACCTCACTCGGTTTTTTTTTAATAACTCTTTTATTTGATGTACCCATTTCAATAAACCTTGGCTTCTTCATTCGTTTTCTGCCTATAACCAGAAGCTCTGATTTCTTACTATATTATTTATTTTGTAAAATTTCTGCGCTATCATAATGATTTCTTTTAGCTCCTTCTTGTTAGATGCAATGAAGGTAGTGTCATCTGCATATGCTATCACTGGTATATTCATATATTAGGAGCATGTCTCTATTCTACTTAAGCTTTTTGGCCATTTGATTTCTAGCTTGTAGCCTTGCTTTTCATTATTTTGTATTTTTGCCAGCAGAGGATCATAAAATATTCTCCAAACCAAAGAGGAAATCACCTCCCCTTGATCGATTCTGTCACCTGCTATAAATCTTTCTGTTGTGCCCAGGCTTGTTAAGATCTCCATTTCTCAGTTTTTGAACAGGTTTATAATAAAGTTAATTGTTATTTGTGGAATCTTAATTCTTTGCAGAGCAAAACTAAGCATTTTTAGCCCTACTGAGTCGAAGGCTTTTTTTATATCTTGAAACAGGAGCCACAGTTCTTTTTTCTTCTCCTTTGCCTCTTCTATAAGGCAGTTTATGAGTTGTACTGGCACTATAGTACCCTCTCCTAGAAGGCCTGCAAAGTTTCTACCTTT